CGGGCTCCCGGACCTGCCCCCTTGGGTGTTGAATCCTTCCCAGCGCCCCGAAGGGGCTCGCTTTTCTCTCGGGCGAAGCTTAATTCATAGCGCTCGTTTAAGCGAGCCCCCCCGAACGTGTTGGGCAAAAGTCTTTCAATGGGGTGCGGTGACGTTTGTGGAAGGGGGGGTAGGACGTAAGCTCATGTTAGCAATCTCCTTTTGCTAGGATTGCTTTGTGCTGTGGATGACGAAGCTGAGTCATGGCACACGCTGGTGTTTTTTTTTGATCTATATGTTTACTTGTAAAAAGTCAAATGAGGACGCAGGTTAGTGAGTTAATTTATCACAGGGAATCTGCCAATTTAAAATTGCTCATTTATTTTGTAGATGCTGAAAACCTATAAGAAAAAAAGACTGTCATTTAAAAAAATGTGGTCCTTTTTTTTTTTAAGCCATCTGTGCCTCTTCAGTATTTTTAACTCAATAATTTCAACATTTTAGCATGATAGGAAAACTGACTTTTATTATTCAGAGTGAGAGAAATGCAAGCTAGTACTCACAGGATAGTAAAGTGACTGATGCCTCATTTTCCCCTGAATAATTACTGTATTATTTGTGGGAGAAAAGTCTTAGTTTTTGAACATCTAGTTTTTTAAAGGCAGCGTCCAGTTTGATTTTCTCATCGTTGTAGAATGAACAGTACAAGCTGCTGTTGCCAACAGTTTGCAGTGTCTTGGAGTTCAAGCTAATGGACCTGCAGAGTTGAAAAACTGGCCATTTTTAGTTATTAAATATCCTAAAATATTTTCTCACCAAGGATTTGGATTCTTATCCCAACAATATTCAGTCTGAGAAATAGATTCTGAAATGACATCTGCGGTTCATTCATACTTTTATTTAAATTTGTTACCCATCAAATGGTGGTAACTTGCTCTCGTTTGTCACACAGACTGAGTCTGCACTGGTGGTGTGTGGTATAAATTTCTATATGCCAGTTCTGTTAATATCCTGAACTGCTTAGCCCCCTTATCAGATTAGCGGTTTCTGCTTGTTTTTGTTTGGTGCCATATGTTGTTTCAGGCTTTGCCTGGTGGTTAGTGTTGACTTGTTAATACGACATTTTATTGCAGTTATAAATCCAAAGTGAACGGGAGTAAAAAGTGGCAATGTCTTCTGATGTGTCAGAGTATACTATTGGGGGAGTGAAGATCATATTCCCTTGCAAGGCTTACCCTTCACAACTTGCTATGATGAATGCTGTAAGTAGAATTTATATTCACATTTGCTAAACTAATAGTTTATGTTCTCTAGTACCTATCAGCATTTAGAAAACTAATATTAAATTTAGAGCCTCTGATATCTTGAGAATTTAACTTGCAATGTAACTTACTGTTGTCCCTGCTGTGCAATGCTATCTGGCCCATGAGTAGCGAATGCTGAAGTACGTTTTGGGTTTGTGAACATTTATGCTAAGAAACAAGTTACGTGTTATGTAATATATATGATTATTTAACTAGATATACTGTAACAGAAATTCTATATAATTTTGCAAGTACATAAGGAGGGAATGATTTAGTAAAACGTCTGTCATTTTGGGGTTTCTTTTATTTTTTTTACAAGACAGCAGGTGTCCTGATCTGTTTTTAGAAGTTATTTCTAGCTTAGCTAAACACATCATCTTTGGGTTTTTCTATTAATTCTGGTTTTGTTCTTGTTATTCCGCTTAAAGATTGTTAAGGGCTTAAATAACAGGCAACACTGTTTGTTGGAGAGCCCTACAGGAAGTGGCAAAAGTTTGGCATTACTTTGTTCCGCATTATCATGGCAGCAGTCTCTGTATGGTAAGTTATCTTAGTGTCTGTTTGCCCAGTTTTTATTACCAAAATATATTATAATGAATGGTGGTTGTTTATCAGCCTTTAAATGTTTGGTTTCAGGAATCTAATCAGGTCTTAGTTCACCATTACACATATTGCCTTATTGGCAACATAGAACAGTGATGGCCAGTAATACTTAGCTGGGTTTAGATACCTGTTATCATAAGGGAATTATATGGCTGTTGGAACTGTGAAAGAAAATACTTGTGGATTGTAGTTATGCAGATTGAATTGAAAAAGAAGGGCATTTTTCATTTCTGCAGGTCGTTACAGTTCTTTGCAGTTCTGCTAAGGGTGATGGTAGCTTGTTCAGACTTTGTAGAGGTGCAAGGTTTATAACTGGTACCTAAACAAAAGCTTTCATTCTTAACTGTTTTGAAGGTCTGGTTCTCATGTATAGCCTTGAGTAGTTTTTAATGGAAGACAAATGACTGTGTCCTTTAGAGAAATCACTGCTTACGTCGTCGTGTGAAAAGGAGGACAGAAAGCCAGAGACCTCACCACCATGTCGCTGCACGTGTCATTCCCAATCTAAGAGCAATGAGGCTGCAACAAGTGTGAATCATGGTGCTTCTTGTTCTTTTAGTAATTATGAAACAGGGAGTTCCGTAAAACCTGGAAGCCCACTAACAAACGCAGGTAACTTCATACACAGGCAGCTAAAAGTCTGTTCTGGAAGTCAGATATATAACTGGTGATGTAAATTTTTTTCTTACATGTCAGAGACTTTTTTTTATCGTCATAATAGCGGAGTACTACGTGATTCTGCCCTGCATGGAAATCTGTATGGAAGTGGTGGTTAATGGGTCTAGAAATGTCTAATACTATTTTCTACATCATGTGTATTTATAGTTTAACATCTTTAAAATGTTGCCCTTATCTAATGCATTCTAGTAGTAGACATACCTTTTATTTTTAATTGCAGAATGTAAGGAAAATGAAAGTCTAGCTTCGAAATTGTCTGCCAAAAAAAGGTTGTCTCTATGTGACAGTGAGAATGATGATTTTCAAGTAGACAGGAAAAGGATTCGTCCTTTAGAAACTGAGCAGCAGGTGAGCAAAGTTTATTGGCGGTAAATTAATCCAGGCATAGCTCAACAAAGCTGTCAAATACCAATCAACATTTCAGAGAAGGGCATAGAGAATAGTTGAGTTGTCACAGGCGTGGTTTAGATTGACAGGGTTTTGTTAATTTTTATTGTTACTTGTTACAAAGGAGTGTGTTGTTACACTAAACTGTTCATAATACCATGTCCCAAATTGTATCTTGCATATTTAAACAGCTAATATCCCCAAAATATATTTATCCCCAGCTGATGTGTAATAGAAAGTCAAAGTATGAGCTTCTAGAGTTGAAAGTGTCTTGCAGATATGCATTAGAAATACAAATAATACTGTGAATGTATCAGAGTTCTGTTTTACATCCCATCAAATGTAGTTATCTCTGGCCTAATATGTGGAGTGCAA